ACTACCGATTTACACATAATAGAAAGCCCCTAAAATGAACAGAATGGATTTAAAATATTTAAACAAGTAAACCTGAGGACATTTTGTGTTGTATAAAAGTAATAACTAATCGTTTATAAACTAAATAGTAATGTTACATAACAATAAGTTGACTATTCTGCTATGCAAACAATTAAATTCTCGACAAAATCACAAGTGGTGCATACAACCACGTTTTCCAGTATACTTTTAACTACGAATGATGAGTACAGTTTTATCTCACATCATCACATGATTTGAGGACGTTGTTTTACAGGTGTCGTTAGCAAAGGAACTGTGCATGGTATTCGTGTGTAACTTTGATTTTCGACCCTATTACAATTATTTTTAGATCCAATAAATAATTAAAGAAAGATGCGCCAGAACAGAGAGAGAAGGAGATCCGGTTATCGAACGGAATACGTCCCGATTGAAGGTCCACTGAACCGTAATAGTGTCAGTTGATTAATTACAGTTAATCCTTTTTAAGCGTCCTTTTTTTTTTGACGGGGGTAAATCTTTACGGATACCCCTGAGCCCAGGGAGACTCAGGGGTTATGTGGGGACTCTCCTCCAGGCTGGAGGGCCTACCCCACTAAAACCCACCCGGGTTTCTCTCTCGCTGGTTGAGTCGGCGCCGTGCGATCAGTAACCATTCACCACGACGCCGCCCGGCCGCCCTAGCTTACGCCAGGGCTCCCGCGCCAACGGTGGGGCGAGTCGGTTGTCCTCCGATCCGCCCCTCAGACAAGTGAGGCCGTGCAATGCAGGCTCCGGAGTCCCTGTCCAGAGCCCGCTGGTCTCACTAGGGGATCAGGCGAGCAGCGAACTGCCTTCGCCTTCTCCCCGTACGTCTGCGCCGGAGCGGGTGCGCGTCTGCCGCATCCTCGCGCACCCGCTTCGCGGCCTCCTTTTGCGACATAACCTCTGCGCAAAAGGAGGCCACCGCCTCTCAGGACTCCTCGCTATCGAGCATGACGGTAACCACGCTCGGCACCGAGATGTCCTGCCCTACAGTCCCCATCAGAGTGCGGCGCTGCCCATCCCAGCCCATCCGCGGTGTCATCCGCAGCGCCGCACTCGTGGACTTCCTTTCGTCCTGCAAAAATCGTATTATGCTTGCTGAATAATTATACCCGAGGCTTTAGTTTATTATCGTCAGTGACTGCTGCGTGTCTTAATTGGGAAAGGTTAAGATATATAATTTTTATTTATTTACTTTTATTATTATTTATATCCCTAACTGACTGAAATTGGTAACATATTCATCTTCGAACCAGATATTGTGATTGTGACATCATTTGTTATGTTTGTCACAGTAAGTGACAATATTGATAGGCCTTGGCTATTCAGGTGCCCACAAAAAGTATATAAACCACTATGTACAAGACAGTATACTTCGACGATGTTTATATCAGTTTTATGAACCTGTGTTTGTGTGTATTTATGTCCGAGACAAATTGGTTGAACAGCATTTGATTATTCTTTTCGTAGAGTCTCAATTTTTTTTTAACGATAATATTGAAAAGTGTCATCATTTAGGTTTTAGGAGCTGGGCGTAGTAAATTCCATGTTAGCTTTTGATTTTTTACATATATAACCAAGGTCAAGTTAACTTCCTTATCTGAGATATTTTTTACTAAACTAATGAGAGACGTGAGTTGTAATATCTATGAATATGAGTCACAGTTTTATAATGGGTTCTGATTTTAAATAGTTTTTTTTTACTATAAAATGTATCGATTGATAATGATTTGTCGATTGTACTTTGTGAAGGAAATACTGTACCCTATAATATGTGTCATCGTGATTCGTATTATGTAAATTGTTAAATATGTTGTTGGATATTGGACGACGTTAAAATTGGGTTCGTACACTTATAATTTGTTATAGGTTGTATTTTAAAATTATTTTTAAGTTGTTTTTGTTGAAATCTCTCAGGAATAGTCCTGAGACACCTTTTTTATCTACGGCTTGTGCTCTAGCGTACTTATCGTTTATAGTGTCAACGCTTGAAAACTGTGTTTATTTTTTGGAAGCACCTTTTAACGTTGAGTCTCGTTTTGCTTTGTACCTATTGACAGAGGGAATACGCTGTAATATTCCAAATATATTACTTATAGTACAGGACATCAATCCATCGCGATCCTAAATTTATTACATCAAGCAACGTTGAAGGAGTGAATAAAAATTACTTTGATGAAATCCCCGTCGACCAATCTCTTTTTAAACAAACAGAGAATTAGTCAAACTGAGTTGGTGCTTAGAGAAGGTGCGATCATACCACTTTAAGCTTTTTATTCGACAAACATAGAGAAACATGGTGTGGTTCTGTTCGTATCGATCGATGATAAACGATGCGTAAACTGCGGCGAATTTTCAATATCTAGCTTTAAGGCTAGATACACAGGCGACCACACGCTCCCGCTTTAGTTGCGATGAACGCAAAAAGCGCAAAGAATATTTCCGCCGTCACTAGATTTTTTTTTAGTTTACGGACGAACGTAACACGACTGCTTTGCCCACCATCGCCACAGAGAAGGTAGAGCGACACAAAGCCGTTTTTTATAGAAAATAAAAAGTACTGTTCACCGGTTGGAACCAACATGCTAATTAATTAAATTTTTCTGCCAGGTCGTCCCGCTTGTCTTTAAAGCAGCCATATTTTTTTCAAAGATGACTGAATTTAAATGAAAGAGCAAGTGTAAAAATGGAATTCATTTTCTCTTCTTTCAAAATGTCTACACCCTTGCCTAATGTATATGAATTCATTTCTCTCCACAAATTCTGGTTACAATTTTTGGCACAGAAACAGATCTTATTTTCTCTAAAGTGACAAAATTTGAAGGAGACTGGATTCTGAACTAGGTCAAGAGATCTGTGTTTTACACTAATTTTACCAAAGATGTAATGTAAACATTTTAAACTATACTATAAATAAAAATAACTACTCTAATTGACTCGTATTTTATATTTCCACGTCTACTTTTCTACCCCAATTAGAATGTTCAGTGTCAATGTAATTTTAACTATTTTAAATGACAAACTCATTTCTTTTTCAATTCAAGTTTGTTGTTATTTGAAATATTTCTTTTTTTTAATTCAATACATTATACAGCCTACCAGCATTAAAATAGAGAAACTTTTGCTCAAAGGATGTTCTAACCGACTGCTGTCTACATATCTCATAATACCTTCTACTTTCTGTCTGATACCAAAGTGAAATACATGAAATTGCTTATTTTTTAACACTTTAGAAATAGAGCGGTAGAAGCGCGTCATTACGCCCTCACATTAAACCAAACCATTAAAAGAACCAACGACGCGCTTGGTTTGTCAAAGTACTAATTAGTATAGAGGTGAACTACGAAAAGAAAGAAGAGGAGCACAGCACCTCTTTATTGTATGCTGATCTCTAGGAAAATGGTATATTGAAGGAGATTGATATATAACGGTCTATGACTATACTTTATTATATTTAAAGCTTTATTTGCCCAAGATTACGCTTGAAGTGTAAAAAACGGATGTCGTCCAGAAACGGAATTACGAGGTTTTCAAATTTAGCCGACGATAAATAGGACTAATATATTAATAATAATGCCAAATAACCACACCAGTTACCTGATTTCCAATTAGTATATTTCCTCCATGTATTATGAGCAACGAAGTTAACCCCAGGGCACTATCTAGTACACCCAGACCAGCGTATTTTTAAAAATGTGACTCAAATTGGTCCTACCGGGAAAATAAACTTTGAACCTCATTTAGCACTCTGTGGTAGCCGTCTTTAACGGCTACCACTAGTGTAACGGCGTAGTAGGGCTAGCACGATAGAGCGCGACTAGCGCGAGAGCGACATAAAACGCGCATCAACAATAAACATATATCGCGCTTTATGTCGCTATCGCGCTAGTCGCGCTCTATTGTTCTAGGACTACAAGTGTGCTTTCGTATTTACCAAAGCGCCATTTTGTCTTAATATTTATTTATAATTTTTTTCGTACCTCATATTGTCGAGTTCGTAGGTTTTCGTTATTGCTAAACATTGGAAATGAAAATGATATTTTCGGATCTATATCGCATATTTTGTCTTTCAAACAAATCAAACGTTTCGGGCTCTTTACAAGTCCCACAGTCATCACTGGTTGAAATGGTGTTGGCCATCAACCAGTTGCGTCTAATATCATTGCAAACCACGCTATTATGTACTAGTTACAGGTACCTACCAGACACGGTATGCTGAAAGCGCTGATTCAAATCCAGCCGAATTAAAGGACTTTTTCTTAGTGTTCAATTTTTGTAATAATGATTAGGTACCTATTTATACTAACGTTTAATTTCTAAAAAAATATTTTGTAGAACTACTTAGGTACATTGTTTGTTCAATTTCGTTATTGCATATCCCTTGATATGTCTGTTTATGGTAATCTAGACACACCCACACTGTCTCAAATATTCACAGGCAACAATAAATATTTCAATTTTCTTTTCACTCTTTTTGGGGTTCAACAATGTATCAGATGCAAACAAGATGTATTGTAATTATTGTGTTTTATTTACCAATACCTGTAGGGCTAGCACTACAGGGTGCGACTTGGGTGAGAGCGACATAAAGCGCGAAATAGTCTATGCAATAATAGTAGTATCTCACGCTTTACTTCGCTCTCGCGCAAGTCGCGCCCTGTCGTGCTACTGACCTCTGTTTTTAATTTATTTATTTTTGGAAGATTTACAGCAATTTTTTACAATAAATATAATGTTAAGTAACAGGTGAAAGCGTTAATCACAAATCTCCAAGTAATCTTTAAGTATTGTTAATTTCCTGGCAATCGTTCGTCGCTCATTTGCCCTTTGATATGTTGAATTAAAAATAATTATTTTCAGTGGGAGAAATCTGAAAATCCTTTCTTTGTGGGATAAAAATGCTGACCAGATTTCAGGTTATGTATATTTACATGTTTAATATATTTCGTTTTGTGCAGGTGACATCACACAAAAGGGATATGACAAGAAACGGTTGCGACTACTCGCGCCCTACGTCCAACAACAGCCGCCTCAAGGTAAACAAGGCAATTGTATTTTGATTCATTCATCCAATATCACCGCTAACCTGCCTGAACTAATTGAATGCGCTGAAGATAATTTCCCAGCGCGCGTCCAAGGTCGCGGCGCAAGCGTCGGGGTCACATTGTCAATTGGTCGCCGTCGATGGTCGCTGCGTATCGCGAAACGATCGCTGGCCCGGTTCCGCAACAAGGGTCAAACGAAGGGGCCATCTTGAATCTGGACCCCGACTGTTCGAAATTAGAACGCGAGTACAATGAACCTTGAAGATTACACGCTTCTGGCCCGCCTAAATCGTTGCTATTTCATAAATAATAATACCAGCCCCTACCAGTAGTAGGGCGTGTTGGTTATGAAATAGCAATACTATGCCAAAAATGTTCATAATTGCCGCAATAGCGCGGTGGAAATTGCTGGAATAATGAAGGCGACCTTCATCCGAGCAAAATAATCAGTACGACAAATCTAAACGACCATTGTGCAGCGGCCATCGACTTTATATTATGTTTTTTTTCTACCCAAGTTGTGTTATTTTATTACAATTATAATTATAGTTTAGTCGGTAACGCACGTCAACCACACTTTATCACCATTATATTAGCACTATCTTTACATTAAAGACAACATAAAGTAGGCGAACGTCACGAGGCTTTTTTGACGTTTGTTGCAACAGACGTCATACAAAAAGTAAACCTTGGACCGAAGCGAAACGCGCTCCGTGCTCCGTGTTGTATTAAAAAAATTTAGACAAAAAAGCCGTTGTGCTTAAATTTTCTTTTAACCCTATGTATACATACGTTATCATACAATATAAGAAGTTGATTTTGTAGAAGAATTTCAACAACATGAGCTCTGTTTTTACCAGTATCGCTCGATTTTGCATTCCTAAAACTAAATATTTTCAATAAAAAGTGAAGATAATAAGTAGTCAACGTGATACATATATTATTATATTCAGCCAGTATTTATACTCTCAAATAGAAAATATGTCATCAAACGAGTTTCGTTTCTTGTTTTTGTAAAGTAAGGTCGGTTATTTTATGTGTTCACCATTTTTTTTTCTACAAACCAAAAGATTATGTTACTTTGTTAAACAACAAGTAGCTTAAGCAACAAGTGTATTGTTATTGTTATAGATTCTTAAAATATAGCTAAATCGGATCTTTTTGGTGGTCGGTATTTCTTCGATACTTTGCTAAGTACCCTTATATTTGTTTTCCGATAAAAAAAAATTATAATGCATTTCCTGATACATAAGGAAAAATCAAGGACAAATAACAACTCGGAAACATACTTGGCTGTTAGCGTTTTGTGTAGGTAAGATGTTGCGATCCGAATTAGTAAGCTAAAAACAAACCCACACGAATGATGTGATACACGAGTTGTACGTTTTTACATTAACGACATTGTAAATTGTAGAGAAATACGCTTTCCTTGAGTAAGAATAGATTTGAACATTAAAATTAGTCAGACCTCAAAATGCAAAGTGACAACAGTAACACCTTGTGACTTCCAATCACGACAAACCGTAGACTAACCACTTGTAGAAAGAAATAGCTCATACAGATTAGTACAAAAGGTAGATGGTATTACAAATTGGTATTAAAGGGTTTCTTATCAGGCTTATGATCTGAGCAGTGATTGCCGGTGATATTGTCGATACTGCACTGCGCGGATGTAAGACGAAAGCGCGGTCAAATTGTCTGTGGACATAGTCTCGAGTGGAGCGGAAAGCGAATCTAGTGATATTATTTTTGACAGTGATATATTCAAAAAATTGCTTTGAATGCTTATGTGGAAACATCGAGTAATGTGTGAAAATTATCGTTTAACATTCCAGCGCTAGGCAATAATTTTTTAGCGCAAAATAAAATATTTAAAAAACAGATTTATGGTTGTGTGACACTAATGATGATAGTGGTCGGTAGACTTAAGCAGATGGAAATAAAGTTTGTTGTTTCGTGTTTGTTATAATGTCAGAAGATGTGAAGAGAGTCGTAGGGTTGAAAAAGACGCCACTAGAATTAAGTTGAAGCAAATGAATTCGATTTATTTGCTTTAGTCGGTCGGAGTATTGTTTTAAATCGACGATTCCCGTAAATGAAATTTTACATTACATTACACAGTTCGTAAACCTATGTCAATACGTAATACTTTCTTATAACAGACATGTAACGTCGGGGATAGTGCAAATCCGTGTATGTGATATTGGTAAAAAGCGCGAATCTGGACCAAACCAATTTGGTTCACAGGAGAGGGGTTTGACGTTATTACTTTGTTATTTCAATGGCTACGATTTTCGTATTCGCACAGTAAGCATTTATTTATGTTGTCTACGGACTAATAACAATAGATTCCCGTAATTTAATGGCCAAATCAGATTTCATTAGGCCATTAAATTACTGAAATTAAGACTCATAATCAAATGCTAGTTACGCGTATTTACACTATCCCCGACGATACCTATTAAGTTTTTAAACATTTCACAACAAATTAGATATTCGGATATATTACAAAAATTAAGAAAATTTTTTTTTTACAAGTTTCTTACTAGCACTATCTCAGCTGTCGAACACACATAAATATATATGTATATAAAAAAATAATAAAATAAATAAAGGAGATCTACGCAATACAGAAAAAAATGGCACGTGGTCTACCAGACAAAAAGTTTGGGATTTAAGTGGATGATGTTGGTTTACAACTTATGTGCTAGTCTGCCGACCCTATTTTCGTCCACTATCTTCGCTCTAATCTTTAAAGTACACTGTAAGCCACACAACTTAAAGTTCGTTTTTTAATACGCTATTTATAGGTCAAGCGGTGCCGATCCGTGCTGACGCACAAAATGATATAGACTTAGGCTCTCGGTTTAGATGATGATACTCGGTTAAATTGCCCGTCCTCGCTAACTGGTATTACTAACGTCGCGCCGTGGCGTTGTTCACCGTCGCGGAACGATACGCACGTTGTTTTTCGCGTTGACCAGATGCGCATGCAAACACTGATTATTACGAGGTCGCGTGCTATATATACACGCGACGCTTTTTGTGTACACAGTAAAATATCCATTTATTATCATTCCCGTTAAATATTTGCCAATAATTTTAGTGCAATGACAAATTATTTAATTACTTTTTTATGCAATTATTATTATAACTTATATAAGTTATAAAAAATATTAGCGATAAAACTCTTTATGAATGCGTTCGTCGAGGGAAGTACCATCATATCTGGTTCTGCATTTATGTGATTATTTCGGTTTCGAAGAGTGCTAGTGAAACTACAGGCACATGGGACTTGTCAACTTTATGTCTCAGGACACAGTGACATTGCCCCTCACACCTTTGCAGTTTCGAAATTCTGAACGGCCCTGCAACTGTTACGAATGGGCGTGTCGCTTGTCACCAGGCACACAAATTGCTCGTCCCGCTAGTTTATGGCACAAAAAAAAATCATTATCTAGATTTAAAATTATTGGTTTCACTAAAGTCGGTTATATTGCCATTCTTTGTGTTGTGTTTTTCAGTTTTGTTTAGGCAAGTCTGTATCACACTATCATGTTCGGGTTGAGTAGTTAAATCAATGTTAGAATTCATAATCACGTGTATGGTAAAACGCAGTGTAAATATTGGCCATGATCTTTTTTTGTTATTTTGCATGTAATATCGTTACGACAAAACAAACATAGGGCTGGTTTTATAGCTGTGCGTACGGCACAGACGGTCCGCCTGCGGGCAATCCGCATGCGTAGAATCCGCAAACGAGTATTTACTTTATTGCTGAATTCGTCGTCGGCGTCACTGTAAAGCGATGTTCTGACGCCACACGTTTTACTCTGCTTCGGTGCTCTGCGCGGACGGTCCTTAGATAAATCCGCACTGCTCCGAAACCAGCCTTACTGTATTTATTCTGATAGTCAGCAGCAACCATGGAGATGTAATTGAACCCGTAAAGATCCCGATACGTTGATTTGATTGAAAAATCAAATATACAAGATTTAGTCCGAAAAAATTGTTTTATTTCCAATATGCAACAATAGTCAAAAACTGAAAACTATGTTTAATCGGCAAATTCCTTTGCAACATTTTGTAGAAATACACGAATAGCAAATTTTCAATGTGTTAACCACTCGAGGGAAAAATTCCTATCATATTCTAACTCCGCGCGCCGACGAGTTTAAGTGGCGGGAACTAATTTCGCATCGTTCACTATACCGTATTACTAATTGCTACAACAGTTCCGCTTATTCTTATTCTTATTCTTGTTCAGTAATTTAATTAACAATTGCATCGATATTGTATTGATGGCTCAGCGAGACATCAACTAGAGGCTCTTGACTCTGTTGAATGCAGAGCCGGGAGACTTATTGGCAAAGGTAGATCTCGAATCTATCTTCATAGTTTAGCCCACCGGCGCAATTTGGGTACAGTTGCCTGGCTTTTTACAGAATATTACTACGGTGAGTGCTACTAAGCGTTCTCGTCATTTTTTGTTATTTGCACTGCCCAGGAATGGATGTGTTTCAAATAGCAAATTAGTCTTGTTTATAATTCTTTGAAACTTGTGGAAGTCTAAAAACAGTCTTGGAATATGTTAGCGTGCATTTAAGTGCAGTTTACAACGCTAACACAATGTTAAGAGCAAACAACTTATAAAAAAGTCTTTAAAAAGTTTACATGATTATTTTTGTATCGCCTTAACAAGAGCACATCGACAAGTAGACTTAAAATATACTTATTTACTTAAATCTTAATAACGTTCCAATGGAGATCAGCACCGCTCTGTGAAAATGTGCAAATATTATTAACGTAAGCAAGCATTGATTTTGGGATCGCTAATCCTAGTATTAAATTTATTGGAAATGCTATAAACGCATGACGCTTTCTGTTACAGGATGATTAGCATTGATTTGGATAATAATTAGTCATTTATTTAGTTGAAAATCCCAAATAGATATTATTTACTGATTGTACAGAGTATGTTCGCCATTTAT